TTCCAGCTGGTCTGTAGGAACACGAAGACACTTGCTGCAAGAAGCCATGGTGAAACTGAATGAATGTGAAATATTTTCGGACCTTTAACTTCTCAGAGGGTTCTGACAGTAATATAGACCCCCATAAAGTTTACAAGGGTTCTTTACAAACATGCACAAAAACTATCATATATATGTCTTTGGTTGATGAGTGCCAAGAGAGCAAAGAAGGGACGAGATTGTCAAAGCGTTAAAACACGCCAACGCCAGGGAACGGCTGGTATCGTCTGGGCGTTAAAACATGCCCGCGCCAGTCAAAGAGTTAATTACCTGCATTTAAAATTTTCTTCAGTTCAGTGTTAAAATCTACTTGTTCGAAAGAAAACGTAAATGAGTATATCCATGTATTAACCAGTATCTAGAATGTATTTGTGGAAAATCTGATCTACTTCCTAGCTTCTCTTTGGCATGAGCACCCACAGATTCATTTCTCTCAAAACTATGAATGTCAGCAATGTATAAAACTTACACATAGTATATGTCCCTCTGTATGATCCTTTAAAACTTTATGGCCTTTACTTGTCTCATAAGATGATGTAATCCATTCTGAGAGGAAAGCGCTCATGAGTTGGATGTACTTCTCCTGATGGCAGGACAGTGTCATAGCAATGTATAAAATTTGTTTTTGGCAAATTCCTTGTAATTAGACTTGCCAGCTCCTGGCCTCTGTCTGCCACACAAGAGAAAAGAACTGAATTTTGAGGCATGGTAATTACTTAATAAATCAATTAAGCTCTACACCCTGAAGATATATGGGGGAGTGGTGGTATAGCTCCATAATTCTTAACCTCACACTAAATGGAGATGAGTCATTACTTACTTAGTCATGGAGCTGAGCCCTTCTGGAGGAGCAGCCAATTCTGCAGCTACTCAATAATTTCCCAGCATTTTATGGAACCCGAAGGTTCATTGCCGTGTTCACAAGAGCCCTCCACTGGTCCCTATCCAATCCATACCATCCCATCCTATATCTCTAAGATCCATTCCAATATTGTCCACCCACCTATGCCTTGGTCTTCCCTGTGGTTTCTCTCCTTCTGGCTTTCCCACCAATATCCTATACACATTCCTCGTCTCCCCCATTCGTGCTACATGACCTGCCCACCTCATCCTCCTTGACTTGATCATTCTAATTATACTTGGAGAAGAGTACAAGTTATGGAGATGAGTTATCACGGTTTTAATCATAACTTCTTGTTGCCATTTTCAAATCTTAATTTAAAATATTCTTTCATGGTTTTTGATGGAAAAGAATAAATTATCTTTTACGATTGATAACTGAAAAGTGTGCAATCTAGGCTGGTTATATATGGAACTGATATATTAGGATCTGAGTCTGATAACTCAGGTTTGATGCAGCAGCAGTGAGCTTTCTAACAGTGAGATATCTTTGGTTAAATTCAGGAAGGTTATATAAGGCTTTCAATGTTGTGTCTCATTTTTGCAGGCACACGCAATATTACAGCAAGAGATGGAAGTAGTAAAACAAGGCATGGGGCATGGAGACTTGTCCTTGGAGTCATACACTCAAGTGTGGGAGGAATGTCTTGCACAGGTTCATATCAATAACATTTAGGATCATTCTGTTCATATAACTTGGTATGACTTTCATGATTAAGTAAGCAGACCATATAATCAATACTGTTGTAATCTTTAATATCAGATATTTTCTTTACAGCGAGTAAAGATACACCACATCAGCTTCTGATGTTCCAAATTATTATCTAAGTCCTACTTTTGCATAAACTGTGATTTCTAATTGTTATAATAGAATTCTTTGCCACTTAATTTACACCTTTTCCAGTAGAAAGTTAACAGAAGTTTAATTTTTGATTTGGAATAGAGGCTGATGATACTGAGAATAATGTTTGTCATTAAGAGAGAGGAACTGGTAGGAGGCTGGAGGAAATTACATAATTGATCACATCAAGGAGATTGAAATGGGCTGCTGTATAGCAGAAATGGGATAAATAACAAATATGTACACAATTTTAGTCAGAAAAACTGAATGAAAGACCTAAGCATAGCTAGATAGCATTAAAATACATCTTGGAGATGGGGTGGTAGTTTTCATAAAGATAACTGAATATCCTGACTTGCTTAGTATTACAATAGATCTTGGAGATGGGCTGGTAGTTTTCAAGATCACTGAATATCCTGACGTGCTGAGTGAGTATTAGCATCTCTAAGTGGACTCTAGTCATTGTAATTAATTAAAATTCAAGAATTATTATGAAGTTCATAAGTCCAGAAGATCAGTAGGTTTGACTCAAATTTCGAGCCAGTTTAGTGTTATGTAATCATTTAAAGAAGCAGCATTTAATATATATGAGGCAATAAGTTTGTTTATATTTTATATGTTCAGATTTTTAAAAATCACTGATTCATTTATTAAACTGGTAACTATTAAAATATATTTTATTATTGATTAATTTATCATCCAATTGTATAATTCAGAATAGTTGACTGGTCAAAAATATATGCTTCCTGACAGCCACGTATTTTGGATTTTGTAATGTCAGAGAATGATTGTAACAAATTATTCCTCTTGGTGATTTGGGCAAATATGTCAGCTCAGTTTCAGGATCCTAATATCTCTTGTTTGGGTATGAACATAGGTACTCTTCCTGCCAAGTCAAAATCGGTACACACGTGCCAACCTAGCCAGTAAGAAAGATCGTCTTGAGTCACAAGAAAAGCGCTTGGAGCAGAACCGAGGCCACATGACACGTGAGGCAAAGAGGGCTGCCAAGATGGAGAAGAAACTGAAAATCCTTACAGGAGGCTACCAGGTCATTGTCTTTTATCTCATTAATTCTAAATTTATACTGCTATGGTGATCCCATTGTATAATAATACTTGCTTTGATTTTTGATTTTCCAGTAATTATATTTTGTCATAGTTTCAGAATGGTTAACATGATTTTGGCACGCGGTAGCGTAGTGGTTGAGGTGCTGCGCTACAAGCCGGAAGGTCGCGGGTTCAAATCCCGATGAGGTCATTGTATTTTTTCGGTTGACCTAATCCTTCCAGCCGCACTAGGCCCTGGGGTTTACTCAGCCTCTTAACAGAAATGAGTACCAGGAATTAAATAATTTTCCTGGGGAGTAAAGCACAGCCGGCGTGTACGGCTGACAACCTTACCACCATCTTTGAGCTGATTGTCAAAACATTTTGTTTGGAATTGTTTTTTACATTGTTAATTGCTTGTTACATGCAATGTGTGGTGTCATGGTGAGATGCTGTTGCTGGTGTTGTATAAGTCAATGCATTTGACATCGACTCAATGTCAGAAATAGAAATGGTGATTTGAGCAAATTTTGGCACAAAATTCTGTGAATAAATAACCATTGAATGTGTTGTTTCGTTTCAGTCACGGGCACAGGCACTTATAAAACAACTGCATGATTTGTATGAGCAGATAGAGCAGGCACAACTTGAACTGTCAACATTCAATTTCCTTCAGCGCCAGGAAATGGCTGCCATTCCACGAAGACTTGAGGTATATTACTTCACAATCATTTGGGCTGGATTCCCATCAGCTTCAAGGTTTAATGTTCAGTCAGTGTGTGATACAAGTATACATCCAAGTATCACTCCAACAGAATGTCCTGACAGATGTTCTGAATTACTTATGTTTGTGATTTGTTTTCAAAAGTTTGTTCTTTGAATTTGCATGGGATACCAATGATCCTGAGATTTTTATGACTTTCTGCAGTTAATTTATTTCATTTTTTAATATCAATCTCAATCACTGTCTGTAAATGAATAACTTGTTTCTTCTTGGGTATTTATGTACATGTATGTACATTTGTATTATGCATGCATGTACTGTACTTATGTGCATGTAGGTCACTATACTCCAACGTATTAGCTTGAACATAGAGATGCAACTAGTATTCAGACCAACCTGTTCACATTCACAAAATTAAATATGTCACTTCTTCCAATGAACCTAACTCAATATTTCTCATGATCTTGCCATGTGGACTGAAATGAAACTAATTCCCTAAGGGAAATAGATTAAAAAAAGAACAGAAAGCAACACAAGCACTTGAATCATGGACTATGCAGATCGAAACACGATTTGAGGCAAAACTGTGTCCTGACATGGGGAAATTTTACTCAGATTTTTTTTGCAGGAAATTAAACATTTCCTTTCGTAGAATTTGGGTGCAGTGTGATGACAAATCCAGCTGTATACAGTGAAGTCTTGCTTGATCAGCTGTGTCAGCATGGAATGAATATCCAGTGTACTGGAGACTGTCTCTGCCTCTATCAATCACTGAGCATTGGTATCAGTCATGGCTGATCACCTGAGGAAGATGTTTTAGTACCCTCTATTAATAAGCAAATCTTGAAATAATAATACTTCAGTGAAATTTGTTTTATGTGTTTCTTTAACTTTTCCCTTTTATATGTACCCATTTATTGTGAAATCCATTTGCTAATTGTATTAGGAACCACAAGAAAAATGCCAAACACTGCACCATACTGAAAGTTTCTGACTGCAGGAATTTAACAAAGGAAGAGTATTTAGACCTTTGGTCTGAATATGATGATAAGAAGTGCAGGAGTTCTTATTTTTGTTTTCTAGTCACTGACAGAGGACGTTAGCAGGCAAACTGAACGAGAGAAGACATTGCAGGCGAAGTTTGCTGAGCTTCAACAAACAGTGGAACAATTACAGCACTGAATGTTCACCCTAGAAGTCTGCAAGAGTTACATTTGGAGGCACCTAACTGTGCTTACCACTTCCTTAGTTGCATTGTCTTACCACTCCAAAGTGTATGTTTGTACCTGATTACAGTTTGAAGTAATTCTGGTGCCATGGCCAGAAACATGCCTTGATAATGTTAGTGGAAGGTGACAATTAAATACAGTGAACTCCCCATTTAGGGTTTCTTTGGGGAACTAGGTTTCAGCAGAGGAAATCAGACACTAATATTATTGATTTGGGATCGTTGAAATTAAACATTAAATGAAGAAACCCCTAAATCAAGGAACATCAAATGGGGGTTCCACTGTATGCTTGCTACTTTTCTTATAGAAATGTATACTTTCAAGTTCTGACCCTTCATATTGCATTTTACAATGGAATTCCATTTAATGATTCTCAATTTAAGATCTCTGTTATATGTACAATTTGTACAAGTCTGTATCATTGTCACAGTGTTATTTCCCCTCCACTTGATGTTTTCCTTGGTTTAGTGTTGGAATCCATTGTCCCACCTGGAGAAACAATAAAGATTTTCAGATCTAAAAGTTTGTGACGATGGTATGTGTACTGTGTGATCATTAATTATAATATAGATTGTGCAATTACAGACTTTTCAAGAAGGCAAGTGTAGTTTTATAAGTGTTTATGTTCTCATGGCAGTGTCTAGGTTGTGATTTCATGTAATTTGATAGACAGGTACCTATCTTCAGGCATAATTTGGTTTCAAGGGTAAGAATTTTTTACCAATAAACTTAATTAAAATTATTCTAGTTTTTAATAATTTTCTTTGCAAAGTACCAGTTTTTTTTATTACTGTCTCTTTCCATTTCTTATCGGCATAGCAGGGTAACTAGTCATAGGTTTTCATTATGATAGACTTCATTAATAATTTTTGGGGTACAGTAGCATAATTGGTTGAGGTGCTATGCTGCAAGCCAGAAGGTCATGGGTTCGATTCCCGATGAGGTTGCATTTTTCAGTTGACTTCATCCTTTACAACATGCTTTGCGTTACTGGGGTCAACTCAGCCTCTAATAGAAGTGAGTACCAGGAATCTTTCTGAAGATAAAGGACGTCTGGCACTTAAGGCTGACAACCTCACCACCATGTGTGAGCTGATTGTCTGGAAAATTTGGGAGCCTAGACATCTCGCGACGCCTGTTACGGTAATAGCTACACCTTTTTTTTTCTCTCTTTCTCTCTGCCCCCCTCCAATAATTATTGAAATTTGTGAAAATTATTACGATTATGTGTTTAATGCAGTCAGTACATGAACCAAATGTAGCGTAGGGTATTGCTAAGTGCAGGTTGTAAGCTTCATTTTGTCTGTAATGAATCTGTAAGCAGCCAATGAAAATTGGCATGTACATGTAATTTAATCAGTGCTGTACATTGATATCAGTTTCATGATTACACTGCTGAATATTATTTTATGATCAGTAAGTCTTATGATTAGGTTTTATGGTTATCAGGAAAACAGTAAACCTACCAAAGTAAATATCTCTTACTTCAAAAACATGTTATTAATAGGGTACATATATGTTTTTCTTAATAACTGGAGCATATTGATGACTTCATGTCAAAGTTGATGGAAATGGACTTCAGCATAAACTTTACTGATATGTTCATTACAACATGTTTTACGTTACTGAACATTTCAAATTATCATACTGTAGAAGTCTAATGTAACAAGTACAGCCTCTAATAAGAACTACATTGTAATGAGCATTTTCTTATGCACCATCAGTTTCCTCGCATGAAACGTATTCTTCGGTTTTAATGAAAGTACTTCTTCATAATTCATACAGTAATGAGTATATTTCTGTTCACGTAGGATTTGTATGTAAACGTGTTTGACAGTGTGGCTTAGCAGCTGATATCTATTCTTCATATGCCAAATGTGCGATACAGAGGTTTTGGATGGGACTAAGAGCCCTCAAAATATTTTTATTTTTCTTCCATGGAAGAATGCAGCCTGGTGTGATCACACCATTTACCACCCTGTAGGACCAGCCTGTGCTGTTCCATCTCTCTCCAGATTTAGGAATTATTCCATTCTTTTATGCCCCCCCCCCCAGTCCATCGTACTGTTGAACACTGGGTAAAAAACATTCTGAAATATGTTGAATCTGGAGAGTGATGATCCTTTCCCCTGTTTTTACCAGTGTTTTCCTCATCTAAATAAACGTTATCATCTCTCCATTTATTTTTAAACTTCCATTTCAATGTACAGTAAAGTACTTTCAGTATTAAGTAGGAAATTTAATTGTACTGTAGAAACTGGTTAATTTTATTAGAATTTCTAATCAAAAGAAGGGATAAATGGCAAGCTTAAAGAGGAGTCAAATAATTGATGATGTCATGTTACTGGGGAAAGTTGAGTGGTGTTCAGTGACTTCTGTATATTTCAATTTGGCCATCAGATGCAAAACCTTCACAACTCAGTGTTGAACTGAAACATTTGAATAGAAGGGAGCCCTACTATAACTACTGTTGATTTTCCCCATCAGTAAGCAGTGATCATTTTGGTATTTTTTATCCTTACCTGTCTTTCCATAAGGATAGAAATATGCTTTGTATGTCCATCCAACTTTTGGACAAACTGGCCAAATTTCCTTAAATCTGGTTTGAACATTATGCCATTAGAGACCTCATGCTGTTTAAATCCCATCATTTTAATCTATAATGACACTATAGTGCATGTATGAACTTCTGAGGTGGGAACAACACTAGTACCACTTAATTTATGGTCCTGAAAAGATGTATGGTAATAGATTTGTAAAAAAGATATGTTACCTTTTTTATGTAATATGGTTTGTAGAATATAAAGCTATATTTTAATGCACAAATAACTATTGGAACACTGGAACTAGGAATATAAAATCTGGTACAAGTGTGACAACGCAAGCTTCTTTGCCTAGCAACCGCTGTTTACTCATGGTTGCTAGGCAATGAAGCTTGCGTTGTCACACTTGCTTGAATGTGAGCAGTTCCTACAGTAGATTATAAACATACTTAAAAGTATTGTCACATATTAGTGACTAGTTATTGGGTTTTGATTGCTAATTGGGTTTACAGGATGCTTATAACTTCTAACTACTATCACGTGTTGATGACTAGATGGGGGTTTGGATTGCTAATTGAATTTGACTCTTTATAACTCATAACTACAAATAGTTATAACATCACTAATCTACGCGCTTTACAAATCACTGCAGTGTGTGCTGAGTCTCAGTCTGTTATGCCTTCACTAGTTGTTGCTCAGTTAATGTCTTCACAAGGTGTTGCTAGTTACTGCTTCTAACCATGGGGGTTCTTCTGCTTCACTGCTCACATCCTGACTGGATGGACTCTGGCATGCAATTAACTCTCAACTGCTACTCATGGCATCACTAGCTGCCACTGCCTCTCTTTTCCCAGTGGCCCTTGCTGTCCACCCTCAGGACAACGTGCATAGAAAACGCAGCTCTATTGTTGCATATGTATTCATTGCTCCTTACACGTTTAGTTTGCCATTGCCTAGCAGTGGGTGATGTTTATGTCCTTATGTCACCGTATGTATGAAATATTGTTTATAAATCTTCGGTTGCAGATAAGGTGACAGTGCAAACTTTTGAGGTTATATCTGTCAAATCTAATATAGCCAATACTCTACTTAAACAGTAGGTTCTTCCCAATTACATGATGAAGATAATGATGTTTATGTAACACAGCTGCAATTACATGCAATGAATTAAAAAAGTACTGACTCAGTAAGATTTGACCTGATGACCTCCTTTGTACACCCATGCACGCGCACGCACACACACACACACACACAGGATGCTAACTCATCAGCTAATCAAGAAATTCACTACCTGTCATGGAACCCAAGGTTCATTACCATCTTCATGAGAGCCGATATTAGACTAAACTACAGTATCTAAGTATAAGAAATTAAATTTAAAAAACATGAAAACACATTAAGTTCTTAGCTAAATAATGCTGATGAAACTATGGACTAATCTTTATAGAAGTCCATTCAGTAGGGAAATAGGTTTTACAGGATCTGCCTGGAACTTCTTGTCTATATATAAAGTTGGGAAATAAGTTTCAAGACTAATTTTTCAAAGTAATCTTCCTCCAGTTCTTTACAGTGTTTTCAGTGCTTTGGCCATTGTTTAAAACCGTTTTTAAAATCCTGAACAGGAATGTCTGTCAAAATTTTTCCATAGATGATTTAATGTCCTCAACGTCCAAGAAATGCTTTTCTTTCAGCGCACTCCTGAGTTCTGGAAACAGCCAGAAGTCATGTGGAGCCAAGTGAGGAGAGTACAGCAAATGATCAATGGTGGTTGGCAACACACCAGCTCTTATTATGTGACCTAGATAACTATTATAAGAAATGGGAGAGGCAGGCTGACTCCACTCCCCCCATTACATAAAAGTTAAATTACTCTTGTGCGCACTTAAACATCATGTCAAGAAGATGTAAGTGCCAGTTATGGTATAGCTCCATCCATTGTTAACATTGGCACTAGATGGAGGTAATAAGGCAGCTTTATGCTTCAGCCATTTTATCCCCAGAGAAAGGACCTCTGAAGAAAAGGTTGGGTGGGGGAGGAGCCCCAGAGCTGATCTTGACACCAGAGAAGAGAAAAATTTCCTACCAACTGAGGTCTTCTGCTCTTATACCCCATCAAAAAACACAGTTACCTTCTACCTACAACAGACAAATCATACACTATTATTATTTTTTTTTTTCTTTGTGTTATGTATTTTAGTGTTTGCTCTAATAGACTGCTGCTGTTGGCAAGCACCCTAATAAATTAACTGAATTGTTATTGTTTTGTATCATTTATTTTATAACCCTATTCGCAATAATCTCTTCACTCTGCGGGGTTTCACACTTTATAACCCTATTCGCAATAATCTGTTTACTCTATCTTCAGTAGTCTACACGTATTCACAGTACGGGAGCTATATAAGTGTCACCGTGTTACACAGTTACACGTCCTGTTCTTCTTTCTGCGACTGCTGCTATACTCCAACTGTGTCACTCCTGATCACACACTGACTGACTGCTGACTCACTTCCAACTCAACTCGTGGGCTGCTGCCTTGAGAACTCACTTCGGCGGCTGATACACTTTTAATTGCCTTCGGTAGCTGTATAGTTCCCTTATATAGTCGCAGTGTTTGCCTGTTATATAATGGGTACCACTGTTGCCTGATGCCGTGTCGACACCGGCGTTGCATGCCTCGTCACAGTAGGAAGCGGTGCCATGTAGCCTGGGGGGGGGGCTATGTCACCATGGCCAGAGCTGCCACATCACTGCTGGGGGAGGGAGGGGTTGTCCTCCATTGCGCAACATGTCACACTATATATATAAAGGGGCATGCAGTAGCATAGTTGGTTGAGGCACTATGCTACAAGCCAGATGGTTGTGGGTTCACACACCGGTTCGCAATTTACACATGGCTTTCAAAATTCTGTGCGTATATGATTATATAACAAAGTTATGCAGGCAACAAGCAGAAGTCATACAAAATCATGATAACGAAAATGTTCGCCATATTGCACAAGGAGAAGCCTGACATAGAAAGTGTAAGAGGCTTAAACTTGGTGGTGATCAAGCATACGGCTGTTCAAGTGACTAGACTGCTGTGGTAGCGAATCCTGCTAAAAATAGGGCATAATCTGCTGTACTGAGCTTGGACTGACAGAGGCCTTGTATATATTGTACATAGAAATAGGGAGTAAGATTAAATTTGTAAATATATATAAATACTGACAATGGACTTACTAATACAGGCTATGACTGACAAATGACAGACCTGACCTCTTGTCAGAGAGGGTGCCCCAGATGGACAGGACAGCAACTTTCATATGAGAAGAAAAATCTGGTCATGAGCCCCAACTGGGGCTCGACACCAAGACAGACAGACTGACTGACCATCAGTCGCAATGTGATTTTGACTGACTTTGACTTTCTTTAAGGTAAAGTCAGCATAGAGAGTGCAGGAGAGCTCAAGGCAGTTGAGAGACTAGTGCAGAGTGCTTACAAGAGAACTAAATAGAAGACCTGACGTGTATGTTGTAAGTACAGTAATCTTGAAATTGTTACAATTATTGATAGTTACAACCAGTGAAGATCCAATAAACCGATTCACCAATCCCAACCCGTATCTTAATCACTGTGACAAGTGACAATATAGTTCTTCAGGGCCTTTTCTGTAGTTCACTGGCCCAATGTATTTTAGGCATTGATATGTTAACTTCTTTCAATTTTCATATATCGCAGAAGTATGAGAAATTCATAACGTGTTGAACAATTTTACCTTACCGATGGACGACGCAATTGCTTTTGTTATTGAAAGTGGAATTTACAAACAGAAGTTTCAGTCAGGTTTGTGAGTAATGTATCCCGCATACTGATACAAGCAATATGCGTTTCCATTTTGAACATTATACATAGAATCCAATAATATTACAGTACAAGGATTGACTGATTGAATTTTCCCGGCGAATTCCGGGAATCGCAAATGGAGAGCTACGAAGGCCAAATTATGTCTTGAAACCTTATAAAATGCCACAAACGTTTATATCGATATTTTATATAGAATCGGAGTCTAATTACTGTTAGATATTTAACAATAATACTTACCGTATGTATAAAATTTTAATCACGGATCTTGATAATATCAACAGCTGATTTGACGCCGTATGTGTGTGTCCTTCCGTTAGGTATGCAACAGAGATTTTTGTACAATTTTCTGCTAAAATCAGCTTTGCCTAGCTAACTATTTTGGAAAGAAACTAGCGGAGGCTTCAGAGAGATGCCGAAGAATAAAGGTAAGTTATGTACATGAATTTTAGATAGAAGTTGTAAAACGTCGTAGACATCTTGGAGCCCGTGTTGCTCACATATCCTTGACGGCCATTTCGCATATGCATATATTGCTTATGTCTAATTTGGAAAACGTCGATATTTCACGGCCGTGAATGACGAATAGTCGACTTTTTCGCTTTCTTTTGTAGAGTGTAGAATTTATAAAGCTCGATGAGCAAGGGAAAACAAACCAGGCTATAGCAGCTGTTGACTTATAACCTATTAAAAGTCACCAATTTTAATTTGCAGGAAAGGGAGGTAAAAACAGGAGGAGAGGAAAGAACGAAAATGAAACGGAGAAGAGAGAACTGGTCTTTAAAGAAGATGGCCAGGGTAAGTGGTCGATTTATTCACAAATGAATGCCAGTTGAGAGGCAGCAATGCTAATAGCAGCTCTTGTGACAAAGTGAACTTCATACTGAAGGACATGCAGGATTGCTAAATCTTTGGCGCTTGCATTCAGAACTTCATAAAAAGTAATTTGTTTGGCAAATTGCTTGGCTATAAACAGCACATTAAAATATGGCTATAAAGTGTCAGTTCGCTTTACACATTGTCTTGGAGTTAGCTTGCCTTCCTTTTTCTCTATGGCTTACTATGTCTTAAGTGTTTGTATTCCCTCTCCCACCCTTGAATATTGTGACATGATGACCGGAACCTGGATTAGTGGAAGGAATAAAGGTAGCCATTGCAATGCAGTGGTCCAGTAAACATGTTTCTGCAGCAACAAATAAACATAACAACAACAGAGGAATTCTTGGAAGTGGTGTTTTGTATACAGTCCCTGTTGAGGTTGCATAACAAGGACAGCAGCTCAGTCGACAGTCAGTTGTGAGTCGGAATTCACAGTTGTAAGATATAGGTCAGAGTCTGCAGTTACCATTGTGAAGTCTTGAGTAGCATTGTAAGACACCACTACCAAGCAGTGACTAGTGGCAACTGAATAATAAACATGTGTGCTTTAGTTATAGTGAGGAGGTTGGAGAAAACTGCACAATGACGAGCTTCATAACTTGTACTCTTTTCATGTATAATTAGAATGATTAAGTCAAGGAGGATGAGGTGGGCAGGGCATGTAGCACGAATGGGGGAGACAAGGAATGCGTATAGGATATTGGTGGGAAAGCCAGAAGGAAAGAGACCACTGGGAAGACCAAGGTATAGATGGGTGGACAATATTAAAATGGATCTTAGAGAGATAGGATGGATGGTATGGATTAGCTTGATCTGTCTCAGGATAGGGACCAGTGGATGGCTCTTGTGAACACAGTAATGAACCTTCAGGTTCCATAAATTGCTGGGAAATTCTTGAGTAGCTGCATAATTGGTGGCTCCTCCAGAAGGGCTCAGCTCCATGAGTGAGTAAGTAAGTTAGTTAGTTAGTTAGTTGCTGGCTTCCCACCGCGGCGGCCCAGGTTCAATCCCGGGTCTGGTCAAGTGGGATTTGTGGTGGACAAAGTGATGCTGGGGTAGGTTTCCTCCGAGTACTTCAGTTTCCCCTGCAAATTTTCATTCCACCAATTGCTCCACAATCACCCTCACCTGTCGTCTGGGGCTGGTACAGTAGGCCAGAAGTGGCTGCAGTACAAGGGACTTAGTCCCACCCCACTAGCAATAAAAAAAATGTTAGTTATAGTGATCTATAGAATGTGTAAATCAGTAAGATTGATATAATCATCTGTAGTCACAAGGTAGACATGTTCAGTAAATCCAGTTATCAGTCCAAATCCAGCGTCTAGTGTAGTACACATGACAGTATGTTGGATTCCCTTTGAAATGTGATGTAGGGAGGGAGAGAGTGGCCACCTAGTAAACACTTATTCCAAAAGTGTACCATTGTATGCTCGTATTGCCATTGCTTAAATCATCTTTGAGGTTGTGTTTGAGTTATGAAATTTTACATATTTAGATGTTTGTATTGTGGGAACATCCCACATTATCACGCATTTCTGCAATGCTCGCTCTTCACATCACTTTTCACCATCACGCGTGCTAACCAATCAGATTGCTTCAAACGATCGCATTTATACTACGCTCGGCGCTAGCCCGCATCTACATCATTACGCGCGCTAGCCAATCAATTCTTCCTCCTCAATTTCGAGTTTCGCTCCGCCCCACCGAGCAGTGTATAAAAAGGGGCGGCTCCAACGCCGAGTTACGCAGTTCATCATCAGTCTACGAGCTAGCCACACCAAGCAACATCAAGCAGCAGGCTTCGTCGCCAGCACTCGGTCTACGAAGGCATCAGCGCTTCGCTGCGCCAGGCATGACTGCCACAGCTGTCTGCCAGTCGCACCCGACTCACTGGGCAACTAGGCCTCACGGACTCGCCGGTAGTCATACCTGACACACTGGGCAACTGGCATAGCTACCGCCTCTCCGCTCCAGTGACTCGCCTTTCACTAGCCTTTCACCCGCCATTCACCGTAACTAACCTCTCTCCTTACCGGCGCGCCCCGCGCTACCTCACCGGTCAAACATCTCATCAGCCACGGTCCTTTTCAGGGCCAACAAGCTGTTCCGAAGAAGTGGGTTGTCATAGGAGTAATGACAAGACTACACATTCAAGAGCCCCACAGTATCAACATTGTCGGTTTCTCAGCATTTATGGTTGCAGTTGTGAAAAATTTATATAACGTTTAATTTTGTAACTTCTTGGTTCTGGGTGTGACAGAATTCTGTAAATAATGATGAACTTACATGAAAATAGTTAAACATTCAAACAGACTTTGTCACAGTGTGTGTGACTTGCAGATTCTGATGTCTTTGCCCTACATTTTAAACGCTTCAAGTGAACAAGTGGGAACAATAAAATTATCATTGTGAACTGTAGTTAAATTGTGATTAAAATGTAAATACACAGATCAAACTAGGCTGAGAGCATCACACACCAGTATTCTAAATGGATCCTGCAAAGGGTATGGAGGGAATCTGTTCAGTGAAGTCTTTACTCCAAAAGTGTTGCATTACCTCACTCACTCACTCACAGAGCTAAACCCTTCTTGAGAAGCTGCCAGGTTTGCAGCTACTCAAGAATTTCCCAGCCTTTTATGGAACCTAAAGGTTCATTACCATGTTCACAAGAACCCTCCACTGGTCCCTATCCTGAGACAGATCAGTCCAATCCATACCATCCCATCCTGTCTCTCTAAGATCCATTTTAATATTGTCCACCCACCTATGCCTTGGTCTTCACAGTGGTGTCTTTCTATCTGGCTTTCCCACCAATATCCTACATGCATTTCTTTTCTCCCCCATTAATGCTACATTCCCTGCCCACCTCATCCTCATTGACTTGATCATTCTAATTATACTTAGAGAAGAGTACAAGTTATGAAGCTCCTCATTATGTAGTTTTCTCCAGCCTCCTATAAAAATTGGTAATTCATTAAAATTACTGAGTAGTCAGGACGTAGTGGTGGGCTTGGGGCTTGACAGCTGGGGTTCCACTCCTGACAGGGGCAAGAAATTTTTCTCTTCTCTGCAGTGTCTGGACCGGTTCTGGGGCACACCCATCCTTTCCAGTGGGTACCAGGATCTCTTTCTCAGAATAAAGCAGCAGGGACATGGTGCTTAATTAACTGAGCACAGGGACAACTTTACCTTCCTGAAATTGTTTCTATGATACTCTGCATTATTAACTTGTATTATTCTAATGTTTCAGAATATGCTCAAGTAACGAAGATGCTAGGAAATGGTAGGCTCGAAGCAATGTGTTTTGATGGTGTTAAGAGATTGTGTCATATCCGTGGCAAGTTAAGAAAGAAGGTAGGTTCAGTAACAAATATTCTGTATGCTGTGAATTTAGCAGGACTGTACAACTTAAGTGGTTCTATTAGTTTCTCTTATGTAATGTTTTCCCTGTTGCTGTCATGAGACATTAACATACACATAATTTTCTCTTAATTTACTTCTAGGCCATCATCCATACTAGTGTCTGATGGAACTTTTATATTTCCCGTTAACAGTATTTAGGTTGTTGTCTACTAAATTAACATCATCTACAGAGATTGGAAATGTGTCTGTCCCATTCAATTCCCGACACTTCCAGTTTCCTTGGACCTTCTAGTGGTGTATTCCAAAATAAAGTTTAAAACAGTGCCTATGAAGAAAATGTTCTCCTTTCTATATCCAGTACAGCACTTTTAAAATGTTGCTATATTAAATATTACATATATAGGGAATGGCTGGCCCAGGTTCGATTCCCAGCAGTGCAAGATCTTTCTCTTCTCTGCAGCATCCAGACCAACACTGGGGCCCACCCAGCCACCTATACAATGGGTAATGGGCGCTCTTTCCCCAGGTGTAAAGAGGCTGGGGCATGAAGCTAACCACTCACCTTCAGCTAGTGCCAAGGTCAAGAAAATGTGGATCTATGCATCCACTTCCCCATATGCCTTCACAGCATAGTGCTTAATGAGTTAAGCACAAGGACGACTCTGCCCTTTTCGTCCTTCATTCCTTTGTGTCATACATGTGCTTGGTTATCAGCGCAGATGCAGTGTCTGCTTGTGCTTTCTTGTAGGTGTGGATTAATCAAGGAGATATAATACTCATCGGGTTACGTGATTACCAAGATGCAAAGGCAGATGTTATCTTAAAATATACACCAGATGAGGCTAGAAACTTGAAAACCTATGGAGAATTCCCTGAAACAGGTAAGATTCATATGAATATGGATTGGGGTGGTGATGCAGTAATTACAGTATTTGGAAGATTCTATCCTTGAGGCTTGCTCTGTGGATTGAAGAATCATCTGGCTTTTATTAGTTAAGCTAGGTTGGCATTAGTACGAAGGGGGACCAAAAAATAACCGGAAACGACCTGTTGCGCGCGCATACTTTGTAGTTACGAGTTGTGCTGCTAGGTGGTGTTAGCTGGGAGTCTCCCGCGACTGTTAGTGAGCTGGCGTCAGTCTGAGTTAAGTGGTTTGTCTGTGGTGCTCTGTTGTGTGCGTTCCTGTTTCAACCCTTTGGCGATTAGTGAGATGGCCGACCAGAAGGAACAAAGAGTGTGCGTGAAATTTTGCTTTCTGTTAGGGAAAACTGCACTTCACTCTTCAAGTCGCGGCAAACATTCACGCGGTTTTCTCTTTGGTCATCTCCGAGCAAGCGAGGAACAAATTTTGCAGACACCCGTCTCATGTGCAAACCTCAGAATTTCCTCAGAATGTTGGTCAATGGTCTTTCGACGATCTTCATCAATTTCATGCACACTCTTTGTTCCTTCTGGTCGGCCATCTCACTAATCGCCAAAGGGTTGAAACAGGAACGCACACAACAGAGCACCACAGACAAACCACTTAACTCAGACTGACGCCAGCTCACTAACAGTCGCGGGAGACCCCCAGCTAACACCACCTAGCAGCACAACTCGTAACTACAAAGCATGCGCGTGCAACAGGTCGTTTCCAGTTATTTTTGGGTCCCCCCTCGTATAACAGAAGTGGCATGTAAGACTGGACACTTAATGGATAGATGAAAAATCAATGGGAAATTTTCTTCCCACTAATTTAGTGTTCATGTTTTTTGGTGCTAGTTGCTAATATGGCTGGCTGTGGCTAGCCTGGGAATTATTGTGTCCAAAATAGATCTCAGTCACATGTAACTTCTTATCCAAAGCCTTGTTCTGAGGGATAAAGAGTCTGATCGCTTAGGAAATATAGTGCAGAGCTTAAGACAACATGGAACTTTGTCTCCACATTTTCAGGTAATAGTGCTTAAGCACAGAAGTAACCCTGCCTTTACCTTTACTAGTTTCATTTACCTGTGAGGGTATAGTTTGCACTGTGTGTAATTAAGCACCACACCATTAAGACATGAGGGTACGTGGTAGCGTAGTTGGTTGAGGCACTATGCTACATGCCGGAAGGTTGCAGGTTCAAGTCCCGATGAGGTTATTAGATTTCTTTCAGTGGACCTAATCCTTCTAGCCACACTGTGGCCCTGGGGTCAACTCAGCCTCTAACAGCAATGAGTACCAGAAATATTCTTGGAATATTCTTGGGGGTAAAGGGCGGCCGGCGCGTAAGGCTGACAACCTTACCGCCATCTTTGAGCCAATTGTCTAGATAATGTGGGACCCTCAACGGCTCAGAACCCTATGAACCTCCACGGCCTGTTAAAGGATACTTTTAATTTTTACTTTTTACCATTAAGACATATGGTTGAGTGGTAGTATAGCTTCATGTATTCTTAAAAGTACTAGATGGAGACGAGTTGTCAGTCTCATACTCCAGTCACTTTACCTCTGGAGAAAGAGTACCTATTACCCACTGGAAAGGCAGGGTGGGCCCCAGGGCCATTATGGGTGTTGGGCAGAAGAGGAAAACCTTTTGCCCCTACCATGAATCCAACTGTGATTCTCTGGCAGTCCACTCTGTCGCATAGTTTAGTTATTGTGACTTTTCATCTGAGAAATGTATATTAGTTGGATTGCTCTGCTGTGTAGATAAGTAGGGATGACTAACATACAGATGTATTTCTGATTTGATTTGGTGAGATCACACAGGCTAGATAAGAGTTGCCATTCCTGTGTAGGGAGTGCTTGTTACAGCCTAAAAATGATTCAACATATATTTCCTATTTTTTAATGTAAGCTCTCTAGAGGCATTATGATCATAATGGTATTAGTTTTTATAAGGCTAGCACAGAATTAAGAGACTTCTATATAAAATGGTATTTCATATATCTCATTACAGTTCGTATTAATGACACAGTCACATTTGTTGAGGATGGTTTCGATGAAGATATTGAATTTGGTGATGAGGTCAGCGACGAAGGTGAGGGTGATCCAGTGGATAATGTAAGTATGTTAGTAATATATGAGTCTTCCATTGATTTGAATATTAAATTAACTACACATTCTTTAAATATATGTATATATAGGTGACTTCTTATCCTAGAATGATAAATAATTTTATGAGTAGTCTTTCCCGTCATTAGAAGTTTCATTTAGGCTAAATTTTATTGAGGCCAAAGGAATTCTGCGTAATGTTCTCATTGTTATGGGATGTGAATACATAAGCCACTTGAAGAACGAGCACTTATTCAAACGGTTAATAGTTCGAATTATGTGAGTAGAAAGGCAGCAGACTGGTTTAAGATCCTAAAATAAATGGTAATTTCTTTTATATGTGTACATGTATGCATGCACTTGCAGTATAACAGAAAGGAGTTGCAAAAACTAGTAAATTTTCATTAATTGTGGTAGTAAAACAAGAAGTTTTGCCATCAGTTCCAGTGTTGTACAGGATCCCAGACCAGTTCCACCCTCATCCTATCCTCTCAACTTGTCTCCCCAAGATTCCGTGTAGTATAATTCTCCCATCTCCTCATAGGTGTGCCAAGTGTTTGCTTTGCAGGAAGTTTCCATGCCGGAATTCTGTACTCCTAGTATGTCCAGACCATTGTCACCTTGCAAATTTCACTTCCCTAACAATACTATATGGTTTATATAGTAAAATTATACAAGATAAATACTATATGGATAGGAAAAATGGGATTGTAAGTTGGTCACATTCAGGCAGATCTCCCGTTGACCAGATTTGGTAAATTGTGGAATGGCTCTGGTTGTGGGCTTCTGCTGTTAGGAGGTAGATGTTTCTGTCTTGTATGGTGTGATATTTCTTGTGCTTGTATTATGATACTACTTAGTTTGTCAAATCATGTAATTTTCTTATCTTAATGTACTCTTGTTTCAGATCTGATGTTGGGAGGAGGGAGCAGCTTGTTTGCATTGTACTACAATGAGGGAGAAAGGACTTTCTGGAACAAGTAGACAGTGTGTAATACACTTACTACATAGATTTGTGTCACTAAAATTCATACAGTCTTTAAATATGTTCTTGCTCCCATCCTGTACCTAACCCAATGTAATCATAGTTGATGTCCATTTTATTTGTAAGAATCAGGACTTCCTTGAGCTGTGTCACCTAGCCTTTTCTTTAATCATACACATGGGATTAATTGTATAATGGGAATGCTGTAATAATTTTACAACTTAAGTTATTAACTAATCCAGAAGGTACCCAAACTCTTACTGGCTAGTTGGCATAGCTCTACACACAAGAAATGTTTGTTGTGAAAGTAATACCCACTGGTTACAGTGACAAATGTCAAGTTGATGTTTATACCTCAGTAGAATTTTTTTATTGCAGTTATGGTTTATTTTATTTAAGTAAAAATTGAATTGTATCATTGTATTCAGAATCACAAAATAAATCAGCAAAATATACAAACATGAATCAATAGTTAATAGTGGTGATTGTGACATCCTATCCTCACTGCAGAAATATGTTGATCTGTGTGTTTTCTCCACACCTTTTTTATTGCATGTACATAGATATCTTCAAACAGGATATTTGATTTGCTTCATTTTTTCAGATTCTGCTTTTAACGAAAAAACAAAAATTTACTGTAATTTGAACTTCTGTTTGTTTTGTTTACAGCTTTTTGTTAATGACATGTTTTAATGTAACCAGAGAGGGCCTGTTGTAATCAGCAGTAGACCTATGAAATGTAGTCGCATTGCATCAGAGTGATTGGGACGCAAGATTACCCACCTTCCTCCTAGCCTACAGATCTTCCACTCATGATGGTACAGGCTTTTCCCCNGGCCATCTACACAACATACACAGTTATGCCTCCCAACACCCGAAGCTGGCTAGTAATCAAATGAAAACTCCTTATGACAGACTGGCCAGCTGTGTGGGCTGCTATGATGGTGACAAAGTGTGGCCCTGTCGCTTGACCTGCATGAAGAGGAACATACCCAAGCTCCACTCCTCATCGTAGGGCCTGTATAAGGTATTCACCCAGATAAATGATGTATATAGGATCCAGCGGAATACTAGATCGAGGTTGATGGTTGTACGCCTGGACCAGCTCACAACTTATGAGGGAGCCACTCAAGAAAAGCAGCTTTAAGGAGGGAGCAGTTAGAAAGTAAACACTATGAAAACTGAGCCACGAGAAAGAAGGTGAGCCCAAGCACAGCCGTTGGAAAAGAAGATATGGTGGTATGCCTGTAGGTCATTCAGGACGAATAGCCTAAAGGATGAAGCAATGTAGTGTGTAGAGCCGTTGCTATGCAAGAACCATGATATGGGGAGATATACCAGGGGCGTTTCTGGGCAGCAGCTTGGTAAACATGCTCCCTTTACTAGGCAGCAGATTTTTAATGCAGTAGTTGGACTACAACAGTAAAAGAGCTGTTTTTTCTGTGTGATCCGTGCCAAAATGTTACAAGCAAGGGACAGACCATGTATTAATTCCCAAGCGACGGTCTAGTTTCTAAGTGTTAACAATTTTCAGTGTCTGTAGCCATGGAAACTGTATTTCTTAATTAGTTGGTTTCCAGGAATTGATTTCTATGTGGCAACGTATTTGCCTATTTATTTCCTAGGAATAACCCGTATGTCACAATATAATACTGGTTGAAAAGACCACTGAAATTCAACAAGGAATCATTTATTTATGTTATCTTGATACATTTACTTTGTTCCCTCATTTCTTTGTTAAAAGAGCAAATTAAGTCACAATCTTATCCTTCAAGTGACAGTTTTGTGCAGAGCTAGAACATACACAAACATGAAAACTACTACAGTATGAGAATGATATAGTAACAAATAACATAGTCATGAAAATCTCATATATATCCATGAGGATATACGAAGTACAGATGTGTGAGGAACTGTTAAGAATTTCTTCAGCCTCCACACATTGGGCCCTTTGGCCTGTGCCCATTCAGAATTTATGCTGAAATTGAATTTTGTAGACAGTAGGACTCATTGGACAGGTGATCAGTCTGTCACACCTGTTACCTACACAGGACAACACAAACAGAATAAACCCAAATATCCGTGCTTGAGTGGAATTTGAACCCACGATCTGTGTTTTGAGAGGGCAAAGACATTTTGTGCCTTAGACCGTGCAGTCACTGTTCAGCCCAAATAGGAATTTACAGGAGAATAAACCAAAGAATATTAATTACCCATATTAGAATACAATTTTTGCCATATACTTGAGACATCTGCCAACAATATGGAATCCCTAATATGCTTACAACAACCCAAGCAAAGACATTTGTCCTGTAAGTTGCTGCTTGCTTGTTGGGTTACAGTTCATCCCTGAAGACAAAAGCAGTACACTTCCTCAACACATCGGAAGACTTCTACCAAACTACACAGCGTCAATACCAGAAATGAGTAGTCTTCATGGTAATCAATATCAGAATCTCAAATTCATATTTTAACTGGACTTAATCCAAGCTCATATATGGCATTGGTAAAATGAAGAGAAATAGCCTTATAGATACACCACATTCCAGATTTCCAGAAGTCTTAATCAAAAACGACTGTGAAGCGATTTAGCTGTTTTGCTAACAGATGTAAGACCGAAACCATTGCAGCCCACATTTCAAAGAGGTGAATTTTAATTCAGTTGAACAGAGGTTCACAGGAAAAAAAAAAAAAAAAGGCCAAAAATTAAAGAATCGTTTAAGTAACTACCAGGGCTTGGTACGAATCGGACGAATTTTCTACGACACAAAGGAGTGCTATTATTTTTTTGTTATTATTAATGAAGTTATCACCATTAAAGGGAGAAAATTTCATGACTTCTACACTTTCATTCTAGAAAACTTCAAGTATCACCACCTACACCAAGACATGTGTCGAAATGGGAATTACCCCAAAAGAAAGCTGAAATGTAATACTGAAGAATCATTTATATGACGTCCGCTATAGTTCCTTAAACCAATTATCAACATCGATCAACATAACCTCAGTGACGCTCAGTGACGCCATAGTGATTTCGTATGTACCCGCTTGTACCGTGGTTTCAATGTGACATCTATTGAGGAATTTGTGAATCACGGTACAAAAGCGGTGGTAGTATGCGGTAGTATGTACCGGTAAGTACCCTTAGTTACTTGCTGGAATGGTTTTTGCAGTTCCGTTAATAGTATCTGTATCCGAATGAGTTACAATTTTAAACGCGTATTTAATTCGTCTTTTTTAATGATGCACGATAAGACAAGCATTAGACGCACAAATTGCAAACTGTGATGTCTTTTTTTATAAGACCGTTTGCCTTAAGGCTGACATTGTACTTGCCAGTTTCCGAAGCCTCGAAACTATCGAACTGTGATACAAATGGAGCATATACGTATGGCCCCACCGGATACTGATGACCTATATTCAGGTTACAATGAATATCCCTCAGCATTAAGCACCAAAGATTTGGAAGAAGATGAAATATTCCAACAAGCTCTTCGGAGTAGCTACGGTAGGAGACCAGTGGTAAGTTTTAGAGCTGCATTTTAACATTACCCGTGTGCATAGTCACAGGATTTTATTTTATCGTGTTGTGGCCGAGCAGTACAAATACAATGTTGGGACGACATTTACATGTATTATATTTTCACAGCTGACATCAAAACCAGGAACTTCCATGCGGTTAGGCACGTCAACAGGAGTAAGTAGCGTTCAGTCTTTAATGACAGCATTATATCTTTGTTCTGCCGAAGAGTTACAGATTATATATTACCTTCAGTGTTGAATGGCAATGCAGAATTCTTACATGCTTTCGTTTTAAATTCCAGTACCATGAAGGAGGAGTTGCAAGGCCAATGACAGCAGTGAGGGGTGCAGGGTACACTTCATCTGCAGGTCAGCGTCAGTTTGATCCTCTAAATCAGGCAGCAAAAGTTCCTGCATCTCCGCAGCTGGAAACAAAACGAGAAGATTTGTAAGTTGTTCCTGAAAAATAATTGTAATGGAATAAATGCCCCCCCCCCTTTTATACACTTTTGAGTTATCAAGGGGTCTAATGATCGGAGTTCCTGGCTACAGATCCAGAGGTCCCGGGTTCGATTCCCGGCGTTACCAGATTTTCTGAGAAGTAGTGGCTCTGGAACAGGGTCCGCTCCGCTTTGTGAGGATAATTTAGGAGCTACATGAATGGAAAAGTAGCGGCTCCAGTCCAGAAAACCGATATTAACGGCCATGGGGATCTGTTGTGCCGACCACGTGACACCCTCTATCCGCAAACGTAAGCACTAATTTCACTAACAAGCAGCAGTCGCTCAGTCAGTATAGTTCACTTGAGCACTAGAGGCCATGGAGTTTATTTGTCTTTGTTTTTGTTTGTTTGAATTTTCAAGAGGAAAAATAAACAATGCAGTGTTATAGACAGTGCCACCATAAAGCAAACTTATGCATGGGATGAGCCAACTTGATGTGAGCTTTCCTTCTTATTGGGTGCTTACAAGAAGATTTCTCGGATATATGTTGCGTACATTTTGTATCTCTTTTAAATATAAAAATCACAATATGGGTGATCATTTGGTCAGCCCATCTCATTCTTTCTATTTGGTTTTTATTTTCTTGTGTATTTCCTTCAGGAATTGTTTACAATTGTAATGCCGTGATGACGGGTGGTTAAAAACAATACTAATTCACTCCATCAGCCATCTCTTTGTTGGCTAATCCCACCGCTGTGACCACTTTGTAATGTCGTAAAAGGGGGCTAAGTGACTCGTTAACCCTTAACATCTGCCGCTTTGGCTTGGGTCCGCTGTTCTTGGGGGGAAGGTCCATTGACGTTACACATTTCTTCCCATTCTATCTTTTCGTCCAACCCTATATACCTATATACACACAGTCACTGCCGACGTTTGTCGGGTACAATACGCTTAGATACATTCTCCTTCTGTCGGAAGCAGTTACACTTATTGCACCTGACTCTGGGTTTCTAGACCTCTTCCTTTCTCTCTTTCCTTCCTAAGCCTGGTCCATCTATTACTCCTAACTCCCTAGGGGTTTACACTTTAATATTATCATGCTTAATGTCCATGGCTATACGGAGTAGTTCCACTTACTTATGAGGACGATACTGGCGCACACCACCAACCAACACCCTCTCGGCATCATGTCTCTCTCCAAGGTTTCTTGCTGATCACGTCGCAACAATCTAACAGTGATGAATGTGAAGACGATGCTCAAATTAGCCGTAAATAGATATAGATCTCCATCTGACAATTAATCTGACAAGAAAAAGCCCCTATAATAATGAAGATCCCCTTTTTTATATTTTCTTCTTGCTATTCACCGGCTTCCAGGTGAGTATACACCTGCCCATCATGACATGATTTTGGTTGGGGTGGCTAGCTCTCATTGGCTGAAAGGTGAAGGGGGTTTGCGTTCCCTAGCCTACTGCCTTCTCTGACTCAGTGATTTCTTAGTGCCTCAGCGCCTTACTGTGCTACTTTCTTACTAAATCTCTTCCTTGTCGCAAGCGTTAGTAAGCTGACACTGTAACATTCTGGCTAGCTTGCTATTGCCTAACTGGCTTCATTACCTTCTTAACAAATCCTGCTTCCTTGTACATTTCATTCATCTATTTCTTAACCTTAATTTCTAAAAACACCATTTCTTAATTAACATGAAAATATATCCACTTGTACATAAAGTTTAGGCACAACAACAATTTTGTACATAAATCCAAATTTCTTATTAATTTGCTGTGGTGGAAATACTTCTAACAGCACCTTTCATGTAATGTAATGAATAATATTTTTGTTTATTCAAGGCATATTGGGGAGTGGAAGTATAGATCCAAATTTTCTTGACTTTGACACTAGTTGGAGGTGAGTGGTCAGCTTTGCGCTCCAGCTGCTTTAGTCCCCCAGGGAAAGAGCCCCTGGTGCCCACTGGATAGGAGGCTATGTGGACCCCCGAGCTGGTCTGGACAACTTGGAGAAGAGAAAATTCTTTACCCTAATAGGACTCAAAAGTGCAACCCCTGAGTCATCCAGTCCGTAGCCAGTTTCTGTAGCAGCTGCACTATCCCTGCTCCCATGATGCTGGCAGCATTCAAAATATATAGCATCAGATGGTCGGATGATTAGTAAACAGCGATTTGGGAATGATGCAGAAGGAAGCCATCATGGACTAATTTGAGATGCTGCTTTGGCATTTGCCTGGATGGACTGAGGAGAACCATAAAAAAAAAACTTTTCCACAGCTGAGATTCAAACCAGGTATCTCCCAAATACAAGCCACAAGCATTACTGTTTGATCCACTTCTCTTGGTCTGGAAGGAATAATGTGTCTGCAATAAATTGCATGGGTAGATTATGTATGTCTATTTCTGTGTGTAAGACTAAGTCACCTAGTTCAAGGTGGCAGTAAAATGAGAGAGGGATGTTTCTAAATTTTGTTACATAGTGGGCAAGAATGTATCTTATGGTTCATAATGTTTTGTTATATAGTGGGCAAGGATGTATCTTATGGTTCATAATGTTTTGTTATATAGCGGGCAAAGATATATCTTATGGTTCATAATGTAGTTGGATGGTCTTCATTACATTACGGTGCTGTTGACATAAGACCAATAGCATCTTCTCAGTTCTGGATAAGCAGTAGATTAAAGAAAAATGTTTTAGTTATTTACAACATTAATGAAGATCTTAATCATAGCATATGTTTTGCTGACCTGTAGTACTTATGAGGTAATTCTTTTATTGGTGTCTTTCTTTTTCTCTGTATTCCTGTACAGCAATCTCTTTCCAGCTGTGAATTTCAAGATATCTATTGTTTTTCATTTGTATCCAGTTTTACCATTAGTGTTTCTTCTTAATTAATATAGTCTGCACAGGAGGTTCCTTCCACACAAAGAGATTTAAATTGATAGAGGAGGGCTTCTCATGCTTGGATGCCTGTCTCATGCCAGGCTCCAGCATCGGACACCTTTCATCATTCTACTGCTCATACATAGGAGTCAGTATAGCAGTGGGCTGTGGGCTGAATGGCTGGGGTTCAATTCCTGTAAGCGGCAAGCTCTTTCTCTTCTCATCATTCAGACCAGCTCTGGGGCCCACCCAACCTCTTATCAAACAATGGGTACCAGGGCCTCTTTCCCTGGGGTTAAAGTGTCCTTGGCGTGGAGCTACCCACTCCCTTCTAGTGCCGAGGTGAAGAATGGTGGAGCTATACCTCCACTCTTTCATGTATCACCATGGCATAGTGCTAAATTAATTAAGCTCAGAGACAGTTTAACCTTTCTTTTAGCTGCCCATGCATGCATACCACACATTTCTTCTGAAATGATCCATGTATTATTTATGTTTTGTATGTAATGTAACGTGTAGTGAAGATTGTAATTTTTTTTTTAATTGGTGTGTGGATGCTGTGCTTTTAATACTTTTTCATGCATTCTGATATTTGGGAGCCATGTTACTAAGCATAAGTGACATTGCAGTATCAGTTAATGGTTTAAATTTTGACTGACATTATCGTAGACCTGAAGAGAAGATCCGAAAATTAGAGCGCAGAATTACAGAGCTGATTGAAGAATCTTGCCTGGCCAGTAGTCGAGGAGAACAGCGGTCGGCGCTGGATACAGCTAAGGAAGCTTCCAGCAAGGAACGAAGTCTCATCCGCATGCAGGAACAAGCAGGTCTCGGTGAAACACACAATCTGGATCTCACATTTTCGGTACTTGGGATTTTTATACCATCTTTTTTTAAAAATATGTCAGTTAGTTCAGACTTGGTGTTCTAATAAATGGGTGCAGATATGCGATTGCCTGTGAATGTGACTGTTAGGGACCCGTAGGAACATCGACGATACTGACATGGTGACTGGGCAAGCTTCTAAGATTGAAATAACCCTGACATCATTTGAAATTTGGACTGTATTACATCGTAAGCAGATCAACTAGTTATGTGAGTAGTGTTTAAAACTGCAAATTCAAATCCTTTAGAACTCTTAAATGTACCACGGCAGTGATAAGTCCTCTTGTACTTTCTTTATGATCAGGTTTTTAATTTACTGTATATATGTATATGAGGCATACACTATAATGAATTGCTTGTGTGTTTGAATTAGGGTTGCATGTTTTGTGTAAGAGAACTGATTAAATTCTTGGGAATGTAATGCCTGTAAGGAGTAACATTATCTGTGAGATTTTCTACACATTTTTGCTCAAATTATTATAAAACAATTTTATTTTAAAAAGTAATTTTTTTTTAGATCTTCTGCAGTTTGTTGCAATAATATTTAACCATCTTTTTTTTTTTTTGCCAGAAACTTAGTTACTTGGTTTGTTATTATGAATTCTTTATATAAATTCTCATATTGCATTTACAGAAACAACATTTAGTTTAACTTTTATCGTTCAAAAGTGTGAATAATAAACCCCTCAATGCTAGTGAACTGGTGACCAGATTTTAACTCAAGGGTGAAAGAAATATTAGAACAGAAGGAATGCAATGGTGTGTCAGCTGGACCATGACTGTAGGGCAACACGTAGACAATAAAGGCTGAAATATGTGACCAAATATCATAATTATTAATCAAGCTATAATTCAGTAGAACAGTGAACTTTTACTTTAAATGTCTTCCTTTGTTCGTTGTACATCCTGTACAATGAATGGGCAGCTGAGGTTTTAGATGCCTAAAATTGCAGGTATGCCATCTTGACAAATTTTTTCTTTGTTTATTGGTTCATTTACTTGCAGTGTCTCAGTTTATTATAGTGTTGAATACAAGAATAACTGTAACTAATGAATTACTGAAAAAGATATTTTGTGGGGTGAGTATGATCTGTTTTAAGATACTGGCCCAGCGGTTAACTGAATAGACTGAGAAAGACCATGGATCAGTATAGTCAGCCTCCGGGCCAAGAATTGAATCTGGGATCTCTCGAACACAAAAACACGATGCTAAGTGGAACACTTTTTGTATATAAAAGGTGGACACATTAGTTCATTATGCTTCAGACATGGTATACAAGCAGAAGTTTAGATTCCAAACTAACTTGTGTGACCACTGAAGTCTTGTTTGCTTTTGGGGCATTGCGCTTTAGTCCGTTTCTTGTACGGACTCTGTATGTTAGATCATGTCTTGTATGAACTATTCACAAAAGTAGAAGGTCATATGTTTAGAAGCAGGTGCTTGAAATTAGATACAGCTGTCTGTTCATGGACACTTCATCTTTCCACCAAGTCCTTGGTCTCCCTGGTGGTGATTTAAGATTTTACTTTTAGTATAATAAAATAAATCTTATTTTCATCCATACATGACACATTCCCATGCCACTCTTCCCTTACTTTCAGCAAGCATTCCTGTAGCATTTCTACTTTCATCCAGGTATAAAGGTTTGTTTTTTTTTTTTTTTTTTTTTTTNTATTATACAAGGTGGTTCAAATATGACTGGGACTGATTTAAAAAAAAACCACACAATTGCCAAACATTTATTTGCACATGTCAGTCTTCAGTGTACTCCCCTCTGGAGTCAACACATTTTTTCTAACTTTCTGGAAGCATCCTGATGCCCCCCAAAAAAAGACTTGTGGTTGGCGGCATATCCACTCCCGAACAGTCTGGATGACGGCGTCGTTGTCCACAAACCACATGCCTTGCAAGTCTGATTTGAGCCTTCCGAACAGGTATAAATCACTTGGGGCCAAATCGGGACTGTACGGTGGATGTGTCAGAAGGTTCCATTTCATTTTCCGAAGGGTTTTCATTGTTGTTTTGGCCGTATGGGGGCGTGCAGTGTCTTGAAGGAAGGCTACCCGCTTTCCACCTGTCTTCAGCTTGGATCGGAACTTTTCCTTTACGTCTGTTGCCAGGAGGTCTGAGTAATAAGTTGCATTGACTGTTCTGGCATCTGTCAGAAAGTCTACATGGATAACCCCCTGCCAGTGACAGAAGAACGTTGCCATCACTTCCTGCTGAACGGCTCCTCCACACTCTCTTGGGTTTGGGAGAACTGGTATGCCGCCACTCGATTGATGACTGCTGGGACTCAGGAATGAAGTAGTGCACCCACGTTTCATCGGCGGTCACTATAGACTTCAAAAATGCATCACCTTCATCTTCAAACTGCTGTAGGAGACAACTGGCAGCTTCCATATGCACCATTTTGTTCATGTTCGTCAAAGTGCGTGGTACCCACCATGCATTCACCTTGCGATAGTGCAGGTGGTATTTCATAATGTCTTCTACACTACCAACACTGATAGACAGCATTGCTCCAAGTTCCTTGATAGTGATGCGCCTATTCTCATGAATAAGTGCGTCTGCATGATCAATGTTTGGCTTGGTGACGGATGTTCACGGCCGACGATAATGTGGTTCATTCTCCACGCGCGCTCTGCCCTCTCTGAAGCACTTACACCACTCAAACACACGTGTCTGTGAGAGACACTCTTCCCCATACTCTTGTTGGAGTCTATGGTGAATTTCAGGGGATGGGACATTTTCTCCAACGAGGAATTTGATCACAATGCGTTGTTCCACGCTCCGCGGTACCTTCTGTACGCTCATCCCTCTAGCAACTCCCAGACAGCACTGAACAGGTTCTAACCCTAACAGGAGGGAGAGTGGAGGTTGTGGCTACAATCTTTCAAGGTCGCACAGCTGCTGCGCAGTGCGGCTTGCTTACAAAAAAATCAGCCCCAGTCATATTTGAAGCACCTAGTATTTCAGGATCCTGTTGCGTTGATACATCGCTCGTCCACTTGCTTCTGTCTCTAATGCAATACAAAAATTCATTTTAAAATGTCATTTACAATCACATAAAATTCACAAAATGTCATGAAAAACATATTGTATTTAATTATTGCAACATGTTTTGGCCCTACAAGGCCATCCTCAGGCAACTGTTAACTGATTGAGATCACCATACTACATCAGCTCATACCTCAATATATTTACGTGCTATTACCGCACGTTGTTATTTGAGAATGTACACCCACATTTCACTCAATTCTGTTTTCATATTATTGCGTCCGTATGGTGTTCCTTTTTTGCATGGTTTGTATTGATCAATACAAGGGATACACGTCAGACTAAAGTAAACTACAAACAAAAGAACACAGTGTGGATGCCACAATATGAAAATAACATGAGTTAAGTGTGGGCGTACATTCTCAAGTAACAACGTGCAGTAATAGCATGTAAATATATTGATATATGAGCTTGATGGAGTGTGGTGATTCCAGTCAATGAACAGTTGCCTGAGGATGTCCTTGTAGGGCCGAAACATGTTGTAACAATTAAATAAAATGTGATTTTGATGCCTTTTTATGAATTTTAAATGCGATTGTAAATAACATTTTAAAATAAAAGTTTGTTTTGAATTAGAAACGGAAGCAAGTATTCAAATTTGTTATGAAATTTTGTTATGGAATTCCAGTTCCAGCTTTAAACAGCCTTCTGGTACATATCCAACAATTTAGTAGTGTAATTTGGGGAGGCGTAAGTGGTAAATAATATTCTTATTTATAGGTACTCTTCAATTTGGCAAACCAGTATGCCAACAATGAAATGTACTCTGAAGCTCTTAATACTTATCAAGTCATCACAAGGAACAAGATGTTTAACAATGCAGACAGACTCAAAATTAATATGGGCAACATTTACCTGAAACTGGGGCAGTTCAGCCGTGCACTTAAAATGTACAACATGGCTCTGGATCATGTTCCAACAACACACAAAGATCTCAGGTTGGTTGCTGTAAGAAGTACTACATTTTTATAAAGATTCATACTGTTTGTGTAAACCTATAGATGATTCCTGTGTACCATTGCGCACACTTTTCTACTGTAAAATGTAGTCTAGTCCACAATATTGTTACATGTTAATGACTAGACATGGGGTTTGGATTTGTAACTGGTTTTATTGAATGCTAGTAGCTTGTAACTACAAATAATTGTAACGCTTCCACTAATATACAGACTCTACAAGTCACTGCTGCAAACACTAAGTCATTGGTCCTTGCTTGGTAGAGGCATCTAACAGTGCAACTCAAGACTGATGGACCGACTTGGCCGGTGGTGTTCGCTGTGTAGCCTTGGCTTGGACCATATAGGAAAAAATGTCTCCATGGTTACTCAGTTGTTGCGTTCCTATCTGTTACCATGGAAGTGATGCATAGGCAGCCTCTTTTTTGTTCCACTGTTTCAGCTTTCTACTGTCATGTCACAGTATGTTTCAGTCACTAAATGAGGCTCAAAATGGCTGCAGAGAGAGAAATCTAATACAGCAACTCAGACCTTCATAGAAGATATCCAGAAAGCATTAGATAATAAGCTATTAGTTATGGGTATATTTTTATATTTAACTAAGGCTTTTGATGCAATAAATCATAATCTACTGCTTGCCAGATAGGAGCTGTATGGACTTAACAAGAAAATATACTCATGCATGAGTTCGTATCTTACTGGTAGAACTGAATTTGTGGAAATACAACAATACATGAAAAGACCTGAAATATAAAGACGTATACTTCGTCATGTAAAGCAATGAAATATGGTGTACCTCAGGGTTCAGTTTTAGGACCCATCTTGTTCTTGTTGTTTATAAATGATTTGTCCCAAGTTGTTCAAGAAGCAAAGGTGATGTTATTTGCGGATGACACAAATGTATTGAATGAATGATTGTATAAGGGGTGGGCCTTCTCAGCCCATGCACTGCGACCTACAGTGGTCTGTTGTGCTTCCCCTTTAAACACAAATGTATTACTCACTGAGAAAACTCACATCTTTGAAAGAGAAAAGTGTAGAAGTTATAGAACAATTAGAAAATTGGCTCTTGACAAATAATCTTATAATAAATACGGAAAAGACCAAAGTACTGCTATTTCAGGGAAGATTTTTTATGCATTTTTTAAGAGTTGTTGACATGTAGTGTTTGGCTGTTTTCAACTGACTTGCCCAGTTGGCCCTGTGTAACAGTTATGGATGTTAAATACATTATCAATATCATCATTATTACAGTCTGGAAGTTACACATAAAATGTTACAGAAACTACAAAAACTATAGAACAGTATGATTTATTTAAGGTTATTATTTAATTTTAATTTAGATAAAATACTAACCTTTTCTAACTCATACTTCATTATATTTTTAGTACTTATATATTTTTATGTGTAACTTCCAGCTAATGATCATCTGGTAACCGAAACAAACTGTGGACTTTATCTTGTAGGAATGAAGTTTGTGTGGCTGTGTGCAGTAATCATGAATAAGTACTGCTTTTTTTCTCGATCATGTTCAGGTGACAAAGTTCTTATGTTAGTTACTGTAAAATATAACCACAATAGATCATTGAAGGTCACGGTGCAAGGGCCAGATTATTATGGCCCACCACTCATACATTCATTCATTCATACTGTAAAATATACCCTGTGGGTCTGCATTATGTTGCAGTGACACTGGCTGCTGTAAGAATTTTCCTGCTCTGTTATGTTTTACTGTTTTTCTGATAAACTTAAGAAGATGATGATAGGTGTCAGAGAGTGAGTGTGACGAAGCAGGCAGGGTAAACATGAATCTTGAATCACATTATTAGGAAGATGTGAATAGTTTGTCATAATTTTGTTATAAATAATCATCAAAATTATTCTCCATTTTTTATCATTGTACAACCATAGTATTTATGGAAATGTACAGACAGCATGAATATTTATATAAATTTCTTTTTCTAGTTCATATCTCTGGTATGGTGTGCTCCTTCGATAGTAGAGAAAATGTGATAATAGTAGTTATGGAAAGGTGTTTTACAGTAATGAGGCCCAAGTTACGTGTATGTTATCTTGAGATCTATATAAATCTTCAGAACAGTTTTCCGTGTTGCAGGTTGAAGATCAAACACAACATAGGCATTGCATTTGTGAAGATGGGACAGTTCAGTGATGCTTGTTCCAAATTTGAGGACATCATGCAAGAAAAGCCAGACTACGCATCAGGTGAGGTCACTGTTGTTGTAAATGTTCATTTCTGAACAAAAGTATTCAGTTTGTTATCATTTGGTCAGTTTGTGGTAGCCCCTGTTGTCCTTTTCAGTGACATAATTCTTGTATGGTTGGTTAATAGATTTTATATTGGATAGTTTTATAGAAAATTGCCTGGCTCTTTCAGTTTACAGTTTAATTGAACAGTTTTAACAACCAGTTTACATGAACACTTACATGCATTTTTACAGGTAACTTGAGCGTAACTCGCTAAATATTTATTGTAGTGAAAAATGTTTTGAACTAAAGTTGTAGAGAAAAAATGAAACATGCGTTTATATTTGATATGCCAGTTCTTCAGGAATTATTAATTTTTGAAATAATTAAATACATCAGACACCATATGTATATTTTCAACTTCCTGTATTCAGCATTGGATTATTAGTGTTTTTCAGTTATTCGTTCATCTTCTCCCCTTCATTTTCATGGATAATTGTAAGTGTACTGTACTACTTATCTTGCTTTTTGGGGAGGAAGGGTGTTTCTGTAATAACTTAACCGCTGTTTTAAATCCAGACTCACTTGTAACTCATTATCAATCTATCTTCTAATATGACATCTGTGAAATAAAAGATATGTACATTGCTTTAGGTCTTCACATGATCTTATGCTACTATGCACTGGGTGAGAAGGATAAAATGAAGCGTGGATTTCAGATGCTACTGGAGTGCCCTCTTAACATTGATGATGACGAAAAATACAATGCTGTGTCAGTGAGTACCTGAAATCTTCAGATAACTTACGTGTTTGTGCACAGTAACTGTTGCAAGGCAGGACTTTTTTTATAGCCAAATTTAGTAAAATCTGTGAAATTTGTTCATTTGTTCAGAAGGAGATGCACTTTAATATCTCAGGTTGAACTTTTCACTTGACTGAATCAATGAATGTTGAATGTTTTCCTCCCACTTTTATACAGAATTACAATGTGTCTTCACTCTTTGACGCATTCAGCAGCTGCTACATAGCAGAAATATACATGTATTAAATAGCATAAAAAATTATTGCAATAGTTAACTAATAAATTAAATTATATTACCATTAATAAAATTCTGTGAGAACTACATGTTCTGTACATAACCACTGGTCTCATTTCTAAACAGAATTGCTTGTTTCATATTCTTATAATTGAAACAAACACATATGTTTGATTGCAGGCTTCTACTTAACCCTTATACACTCAATGCCCCAATCCATCAGCGTGTCTGGTAATGGCCAGAACACTCGGGCAGTCAATCTATCAGCTCCGTCTAAATCAGTGGTATTCAACTTTTTGTTCTCATAACCCCAGATATAATTTCTCTTAAATTTTTTACCCCCAAAATTGTTGGTGTATAATTCAAATTATAAAGCTTATAATCTGCATCTAAATAAATTAAATAATTTACATCCAAAATAATGTATTAAATAACAAGTTTCAAACAAGAAGAAGGAGAATCAAGCTATTAAACGACAAATATGTTATTGCCTATCATATAAAAATTAATAAAGGAACAAAGGTATTTTAGCAAAGCAAAAATCATATGATTAAATATTTTATCAATTATTAATGTGGTTCTAACCTGTTAAAGAGATGATTGAGCTTGTTTCTGGCATGCCAGCACCTCAATTCAGGGACAGATTTTAATTTTATGTACTCCTCAAGATGTCTTCACATACCCCACGTTGAAGACAATTAGTCTAAATCATGTTCTCCTAATTATATAAATGGCNAAGTTTCATGTTCCTATCTCATAGAATTTAAGAACAATGATGAATAAATAATTTTCGAGCAAAATTTAAATGGCCGGCTGAATATATTACCGCAGGAGCCGCGGCCGCGGAATTTAAATCACCACGTCAAAGTGTTAATAAAAATATTTTTTTGAAAGAAATTAAATATGTTTAGCCCACATGTTAACTTGGTGGTTTAATGCTTTCTTGTTCTGTCATTTTAGTTGTTTTACTATGAATATATCATAGTTTAGTGGTGGTATTTTGTTTTTATAATAAGTTATATATTTAACATTTTTGTTGCATTTTTTGGAGTTTATAGTATATAAGGGTGGTTATTTTACATTTTTAACTAGACAGTGGCTGGTCCAAGCTCTAGGTTAGATGACCCTGACATGTTGGAATATTTAGATACAACTGGCAGTGATAGTGACTTTATTCCGGAAAGTGACACTGATGATACAAGTGATGAAGAAGATGGTGTACGTGCCATATTCCCAACTGCTCACCCTGTGCATGACAGTGAAGAGGATGACATGGATAATGACGACTACAAGGAAATTCTTCACCTGGGCTGCCTCTTCCTCTTCCTCCCCAATTCCAAAATCTGCCTTTAGCTAAGCATATGCCTCCTCATAGTGCTTACTTCCATCTCTTCTTCACAGACTTGATCCTTACCGTTATGGTGACATGCACAACAAGTGATTAGCAGTAGCAAGTAGTGTTCCCACTCTGCTAACGAGCCGGACCAGAATTACCATGCACGAGATGAAATAATTCTTGGCCTGTATTCTAAATATGGACATCATCAAAAAGAAGCCATCATGCTGGTTCCAAAGCCAACCCATGATTTGGGAAATGTTTACCAAGCATCACTTTCCTCACTTGCTGCCAAAAAGACAATTTTATTTTTTCCTGAATTATGTAAATTTTAAATTTCTGTATTTAATTCATTCAGTTTTTATTTGTTTTCAAATTATTTATAGTGTTAGCACTTTTAGGCTATTTTTGTTGAAGTCCACTGTTTATAATGAATAAATGTTATTTTTTCATATGTCTTTGACCAATATTGTATTTTTGGTGAATTTTTGAAGTGAGACTTGTAAATTGAGCCAGATTTGCCTGAGTGTTTTAGGCCAGGTACTGGAAAATGGGCTGTGCTGAAGGGTTAAACTACTGACTAACTATTTTAAAGAAAGACTTCTCTAAGTCAGTATCAAAATGACATGATTCCAGACTGGCTGCAGCTATGAAGCTGTGAAGGGAATGTGGTTGGTTGGTTTGTTTGTTAATTAGTTTCTAAGTCATTTGTGCGTGTAACCTCAGCTGGTTGGCATGTTTGTAACTTATTTTCTGTTCAGACATCACTTGAGCAAGTTGCATTATCCAGTTATACTTCAGTTGGAGTGGGTGATTTCAAGACCTTCCCACTCCTGTCTGCCATAGGTCTCCACAATCTCACAACTGTAATGGCATCTAGGAGCAGAGTAGGAAGCTGTGTGCACCAAAAAATGGTGTCTTATTTTACTTTCACTCTTCTCTTATCATGGTTAAAAGTTTTCTTACATACCATAAATGTACAACTTGGAACCCCTGACTTTACTTCCATTCTGAAGGAAGTTGTGGTACAGATTTTATTGCCCATAAAAATCCATTGACCTTGTCTGGGTTTGAACCCAGAGACAAGCACGTTACCTCATTGTAAGGCGACATAGTAATTTATTTTCCAAATTTAGGATTGGCATAAGTATCTGTTGCATTTTCCTGTAATTGCTTTATCCAGGATGACCCTGCAGCTAACCTAATTCTGGAGGTGATAAAGACAGACTCTTTATGGAAGCTGGAACGGGGAATAAGGCAGGAGGCAGAACGGAGTATCCTGACAGCAGCACAACTCATCTCCCCTGTCATAGAAGATACTTTCAGTGCAGGTACAGTGACCAATTGTACTTAGTCTTAATGTAATAACTTAGTTTTGATTAGAGCAAAGTTTACTGTAGAAGCTGATGATTTTAATGTGTCTCTTGCCAGGCACTAATCTTACCGCCCTCCTCTTCTTCGCCTTCCTGCTCAGTGAGACTTCAAGCCTCACGAGTTGGTCGTCTCTTATACCTGCCCTTCACGTTCGCACCTTTGTGGTCTGCCCTTTTATCCGCCGCCTCCTTGTAGCTGTCTGATTCAGGGTAGGGTGTGGGATTGCTCTGAATACTTGAATTTTTATGGGCGCCAGTGGACTTGGGTGAAATCCACGAGTTTGGAACGGGGAAAACAAAGGTGGGGATATGGATAGGCGGACGTTTGGGGTTCCGACTGCTCAGAAGGTAGGACGAGATTCTGTCTCAGGGCGACTTCTGGGCCTTGCTCACACAAGGAGAGAGAGAACACTGAAAAAAACTCGCACTTCACCAACACTGTTGCTTTTATTGTTAGTGTTCACTAGAGTCACACATTACGAGGCCATAGCACTTGGACTTTATACACCAATTTAACGTCCGGGAGGTTACTACTGTTACTCCCTTTGGCAACTCACTCCGGTTACTCACTATCCATGACTAACCGCTCTTATTCCCGTGTAAAGACTGCTCTTATTGCCTTGTAATGACTCACTCCCACCGTTTCCTTCTGATGACTTGTAATGACTCACTCCCGCCGTTTCCTTCTGATGACTGACTCCCGCTATTTCCTTCTGATGACTGACTGCTCTGGAGAGGCAGAAGTCCCGACGGTTCCGGGAACGCCTGGATTTCTCTCCTCTGAAATTTTGCTGATTGGCTGAACCTAAAATTTGGGTGTTTCTCTCATTTGCATTCAGCCAATCCCTAACCAGATCCATGTTAATTTGGGCCTGAGTACAACACGGTCCCTCTGACAGCTCTCAAATAAATGGAGGTACGCTAACGATCACTCGGTACGCCCCTTCGAAAATTATTGCGACTCGTACCTGTCAAGTCTCAAATTTTCAAAGACTCGAACCGTCGAAGTTAAGCATTGAAATCCCCAGAAAACACAGCGGGATACTTCCTGCTCCGTTCTGGGTTTTCAAGTGACCTGCAGCTTGCTTGTCCCTCAGAAAGACCAGATGTTGTCCTTGGCGTCTGCTGGTGCTGGGGGGGCAATTGTGTATCATCTTGTTATCAGTAATGCAGTTCATTTAAATGTAGTACATTGTAATTAAGAATGTAAATCAACAACATTGTTGATGTTCCTGCATGGTGCGGTTACACTAACTCCATGGAGCAAAGCTCCATACAAAACCAATAGTCACTCCATTGAGAAAGTCCCCACCTGTGGAACCCAGAAGTTCATTACTGTGCTCAGAAGAGCCTGCTGTTGGTTCCTGTTTTTAGTGAGATTAATCCAGCCCACACTTTAAGTCACTGTAATACGAGCAGCACTAAATGAGAACACAGGCCTTGTTTCTAATTGTTAGACATTTCTCACCTCTTATTTTGTCTACCGTTGAGGTAATTTTGGGGACAGCCCAAGAGAATGTAAATGTTTTGTTAACATTTTGTAGCCAATTCTTGGATCATAAGTGACTGAGTAAAACCACAAGAAGGCCCATCCAAGATAACCATTTTTGTCTTGAGTATGGTACCTCTTGAATGGGTCTGATATGTCATCCCATTCAGAAACAGTGATCTAATATAGAGGCAGACTTTATGTTTTAGGGCACGCGGTAGCATAGTTGGTTGAGGCACTATGCTACAAGTTGGAAGGTCATGGGTTCAAGTCCCGATGAGATTTTTTCAATTGACTTAATCCTTCCAGCTGCACTATGGCCCTGGGGTTGACTCAGCCTCTATCAGAAATGAGTACCAGGAATCTTCCTGGGGGGTAAAGGGCAGTTGACGCATAAGACTGACAACTTTACCACCATCTGTGAGCTGATTGTCTAGAAAATGTTGGAGCCTCAACATCTTATGGCCTGGTACAGGGATAGCTTTACCTTTCTTTAAACTTTATGTTTGGGAGTGTCAAATCAAGGATTTCTTAAACTAATCGTGTACATGTCTTCTCACAGGATATAACTGGTGTGTGGATGCAATCAAGGTTTCTAGTCATTCTTTGCTTGCCAATGATTTGGAAATTAACAAGGCTGTGATGTTTCTTAAACAAAAGGAATTACCCGAAGCAATTGATACTCTTCGAGCATTTGAGAAAAAAGAGACTAAAGTAGCCAGTGCGGCAGCTACTAACCTTGCCTTCATCCATTTCCTGGTAAGTTAAAACCGAGGAAAATTCTGTTCCCAGCCCATGAGATTAGATTTGTAGATTTAACGATTGAAGAGAGATGTTTACCACAGAGCTTGGATCTCTCCTCACGTGTTTTTATCTGAAGGCTAAGATCTCCTGCTGTGGTGAGAATGTTAACTCTGTTCATAAGGTTCCACATTTAATCTGACTATAGGGACCTTAGTTTGCATTTAGTCCTCTCTAGTTCCTGCTTTTATAATTGTCCTAACGATCAACATGTCTGTAGTGCTCACAGTAGAAACATTGGAAGCAGTCAGCCCCTTGATTCAGCTTCGGCTGAACTGAAATTAGTTTGAGAAGACATCTGAGATTATTGTGGCTAAGGAACCCTGTTGCTATTATAGGAGAATCAAATACGTGGTGCTATCAGAAAGTTCCCGAAATTTGAATTTTGTATGCAAATGGTTCTGAGTACATTGAAATACTGCTAGGTGTCTCCCCACACACCCTTCTTGAGTCAGTGTGGCAAGCGGTGTCAAGTTGAGTGGTTGGGTTTATCGTTGAACGTATTTCCATTGTTGTGTTTCCGTGAGTTTGCGGTTTTGCGATGACTGACCTGAGTGAGCAGCGTGTCTATATAAAGTTTTGTTTCAGACTTTGGAAAACCACTGTAGAAATGCACCAAATGTTGAAGCAAGCATTTGGTAACAACAGTTTAGGCCAGACAGAAACTTATGACTGGTGTAAGCGTTTCAAAAATGACCAGACATTGACTGATGATGACAATCGTTCGGGACAACTGTCAACTGGCACCACACAAGAAAATGTTGCGAAAGTTAGGGATCTGATTCTGCAAGATCATAGACTGACCATCCAAGACCTCTGCAACACCTTGGGACTAAGTTATGGTACATATCAACAAATTTTGTCAGAGGAACTGAACATGAGGAGGATTGCAGCGAGGTTTGTGCCACGACTGCTGCAAAATGAACAGAAGCAGCATCGCTTGGAAGTCTGCAGGGAACTTCAACAACAGCTTCAAGAGAATCCAAACTTTCTTTCAAAGGTTGTCACTGGTGAGGAAAGTTGGGATATTGGCTACGACCCTGAAAGTAAGCAGCAATCATCGCATCGCAATGGAAGAGCCCTTCTTCACCTCAGCCAAAAAAGCTCGACAAGTCAAGAGCAGCATTAAGTCCATGTTGATCTTT